TTCTAGTGCTTTTACTCCCCTGTTTTCCAGGACACATCATGTGGATATTTTTTTTTTGTTAAAAACAAAGAAGAATCAACAACAACAAAACCCAACAAACAGATAAATTAAGCATTATAGAATTGAGGAAATCCTAAGAATTTCGAATCCTTCCTCTACAACCAAGAAGTTTCATGTTTTCCCAGGACCTTGGGACATGTAGCATAGACCTGGTGAGCTTCAATACTTAGCCCCTTTTCTAAATACTGTGATGGGCTGAAGGCTCTATGACTACATTTTTCTCAAAGATTCTTTCCTAGCCTGTCTGAGACACTGATGTTGAGGATCTTAGGCAAAAGTGAGGGGGAGGGAGAAAAGTACTGAAATTTTAAGAAGCCTTGTTTAAAATGTTAGACTAATGGCATTTGACTAAGGACCCTTTATATCACCTTCCTCTTCCACAAGGGGACATTTTGAAAGTGTCTGAATGTATTTGGTTGTCACAACTAGAAGACAAGGAAGGAACTTGCTTCCAGCGTCTGTCTAACTAGGTATAAACCAGACTATCTTGTGTATATCCTATCTTTTTTATGTCTGCTCCTTTACACAAAAGGTTAAGAAGAGGGAAATTCCATTGATAATTTCTGGCTTAAAATATTTTGTTGAAATGTCCTTATGCAAATCACTTCCTTTTCAGATAATCTAAGTAGCTGTAGAAATTTCTGTAAGAGACAACATCATCCTAGAAGGCTGGTGAGAATCTCTAGTATGGGATTACTTTGAGATGCTTAAAGTTTAGGGGTAGCCTTGCCAAGTTCTGGCATTCTTAGAACCGAGACTAACAGGGAAGAGAAAATGGAAGAAAGGATTGCCTTTTCTGGGAGAGTGTTTGTGCCTATTCAATGAAGCTTTACTGCTTGAAATAACTAGCCTACACATTCTGTAGGTGCAAATTGAAATGGAAAGTCATGTGATCTTATCTTTCTAATCAAGCTGAGAAAATGATATTTTAGTCTACAGGAAAAGTGATAATTCAGGAAGGTTGATGAGAATGTATTAGATAGTAGAAAGAGACACTGTATTTAATATTAGTTGGTCAGAGGCGCCAACTGTCGCATAGCAGCCATAGTGAAACAGAAAAAAATGGAGTAATATTCCAATCCTGAATGTAAGTCTTCTCTATTCCCTCAAATGCAGAACCATCAGTAAAGCAAGTCAGTTGTTTTCTCTGATACTCTCTATAAGCATGAAAGATGTTTCTTGATCGGGTTGTTGGAAGGTTACTCTTGAGAAAAGATGAGGGAATAGTTCACACAACCTGAAGATATTTTTTCGAAGAGTTTTGGCAAGACTACCAAGAGTCTAAAAATAACAAAGTTAACACCAAAGTTTTACTTTATTATGTTTTGATTTCACAGAAAATGCCGACTTGTAAATAACAATAGTTCTTTATAACAACCTACGTGACACTTTTATTAGCCTTGGAAGTGGGAGGTTGGGTTAAACGGGAATCCATGGGAATTCAGGGGAGAAAGAAAAAAACAAAACAAAACAGCCAGGGCTGGGAATAACTATAGTTTAGAAAAATAATGATCATGTTGGATTTCAAACTGCTTGACACTTTGCTGATCCCCAGAAAAATGTAAAGAACATCCTGAGGGGTGAGTGAAACTTGTCTCTGCCTCGGGAGGAGAAGGTCAAAGTCACCTTGCCTCACCTGTCAGCTCACAGCCAAGCATTTCTTTCCAGAAGTTTAACACATGCCTGCCAGGCTATTTACCAGTATCGAGGTCTGTTTATTGAGTACAATTGTTGCTCTAAAGATAAGGAAACCCAGATTGAAATATAGAAACTAGTCACAAAAGAGGGTTCTGGTTCACTGGACACTTCTCTGACCTTTTATTTTGAAATTGTGCAAGAGATGTGTGTGTGTGGTAGGGAAGGGTGAATGTATTTCAACTGTGTGAGACACAAGCCCCAGGCCAACTTCTAAAACCTGAGAATATGGTCCAGGGTGTTCAAGTACAGTCATGCAGGGGCTCTGAGATGGTCTGCTGTAACTTTATCACAGATAGCAAGGATCTTCTGTAAATTACAGGGCCTAGGATAGTCATTGGGAAGCTTGGTATTCTGACTTTAAAGATATCTTCTTTGAAAAAACAACCAAACACTTGAGGTTTTTTTTAATAGCAATGATTCTAAGATGAAGGAATATAGTAATGATGATTTAAAAATAATCTTGCAATGAATGTTGATGATTTCAAATACAAAGAACTATCCAATGGATAAGGAACTTGAGTTCTGGCCAGGGCCCTTGACTCTCAGGAAGAATGTGCTTGATGGGAGAGAGGCAACAACCATAGAAAGGACAGTCATGACCAACAAGAATGGAAAATGCCACTGCCCATGACTACAGAGGTTGACAGGTCATTTGGCCAAAGCTGGCAGGTTCTTTTCCTCATACCTGGTTCTATCACCTGGCATCACTCAAATGGAATATCTTCACCTCTCAGGTGTCTGTTTCAACCTGGTGACACCCAACAGGAAATGTTCTGTGGAGCCTTATGCCCCTCTCTCTGCCCTCAGAAATCTGTCAGGCAGCGAAGGAGCACACTGGGAACTGAGCATCTTATGGTTCTGGTCCTTTCTTGCTCAGGCTAATGACACTTGAGGGGAGAACTGTCCTCTTGAGATAGGGCATTGATTTCAGACTAGAAGGAGTTGTGGGAGGGTAGTATAATTGGAAGGTTATGTGACAAAGCAAGTGTCAAGGCAATAGACAACTGTCAGTCAGCAACGCAAACAAGTTTAGTAAAGGAAATCTGTTGAAAAAAAAGCCACCTACTGGCTAAGTCTTAGGGTTATGGTATGGTTATTCTGTAGAAACCCTAGTAAACTAGTCAAAATGTATTGAAATATATTCAGATAATGCAGGGAATGAATTAAAGCTAGCCAAGACCTAAGGGACCAATTTATAGTAAGACTTTTACTTGGGGGTGGGTGGTCATTGACCTGAACGAACATCCTCCTTATTTTGTTTCAATAATAAAGTGTGATAGACTTTCCTTAATGACCCAAGATAGGCAAGGACGTAGTGTATTTCAGACTTCCTGAATATCAATCTTCTACTAAGCTCTAAGTTTGAAGTTACCTTTATCTGTTTTAATTATTTTCAAATATAAATGTCCTGCTTTAGAAATAGAAACAGATGAAAACATTCCATTTGCTTCTTATTCTCCCCTCAATGAAGACACACTGGCCTCTGCAGGAACTGGGACCATGTCCTCACAATCTAGAGCAAAGTCTACAGGCTACATATGGAGAGGCTTTGCTTCCTTGATGTCTATTAGGGGGACATATCTCAGCATAAAAAGAAATTTAGGAATTTAACATCTCAGCAATAACAATAATAATAAAGATAAATACCCACATATCTACTGGAGGCTAAAATTCTGTAGTCTCTGCTAAGTTCATCTGAGAGAAACTTGTTCTTTTGAATGGACAAACTAACCTTTTTCAAGTTTTTGTCTGGTCCTACTTATGTGGACACTGGGGTTCAAGCTGATGTTTGCAGGGATCTCTTTAGGTCTTTTGAGTTTCATTTGCCTCAACTGGAAGGAGGTGCTATCTTGTAGAAATCTTCCCCACCCTAAAGATATCCATGAATTTAAGATTTCACCATTCATTTAGTAGCAAGAAGTTATGGTGGCTTTGGGATGCTCATGATAGCTTTCCCAGTGTCCAGGATACTGGGAGCTATGACCCAGCCAGGCCTTCCCCATGCTAAGCCCTGAGATGCCACTTTCCTGCTCACTGTTCCTATTTACTGAATTCATGACATACAAAGAGACCAGATGTAGATGTGGCTCAGGGGTAGAGGCACTTGCCTGGCAAGGGCAAGACCCTGGTTTGACCTCTATCACTAGAAGGGGAGGAAAGCAAGGGAGAAGGGGAGGACAATATTGGAATTCAGTCATTTTAAGAAGGATAAGAGGCTAATACCAGCCCTGATAAGAACTCCAGCTATTTGCTTTCCACTCAGCTTCAGGCTGAGTGATTCAGACAAGGATGGAAAAATGAAGGCCAAAATATGAAACATCAAGAAAGCACCGGTTGATGCTGGCTGTATACCAAGAAACATCCTATTAGTTAATACAGCTCTATGGAGAAATTACATGTAGAAGAACCAGATTATACCACATGATAAGAAGTAGACTTATCAACTTTACTTTCTTTCATCTAACATTAAAAGCATAAATTGGGGCCGATGGCCCTTTCCTCTGAATGTTCTCTCCTGGCAGAAGTCAATCTTTATTTCTACATTGATATTCCCCTAACTACAGCTGTATTATTTAAATATGGTCTCCAAGTTACAGACTGCTTGTGATGTGATACAGTAGTGTTACTAACTTTAAAGGTGAAGTTATGTGCCATTTTTCCCTAGGCTGCACTCTCACATCTTGCAAGCATTATACAAACACAGGAGTGCCAGGCCTTAAGGTTGGGTGGATCCTAGCCCATGTTCCTCAACATAAAACGATAGCTCTCATGGGCATTTGTGTATGGGAGGGCGGGTCCTAGGCTCTGAAGACGTCTTTGTCAGTACTACACTGGTCCTCAAAGTGGGCATGAGCAAAGTAGTCTTAATCAAAAATTCCACTGGGATTTTACTGCTTTCTTTTCTTTCTTTCTTTCTTTCTTCCTTTCTTTCTTTGCAATACAAGGACATTTCTAATATTCCACTCACAAAGTTATTAGTATTTTAATTTCTTTAACCATATTTACCCAGTAGTTAAAGAACACTGCTAGATCATCCATCCCCCTTCAGATTCTCTCCAGAGCACACACTGAGAAGTCTCATCACTTAAGAGTCCTTAAATTGATGGGACAATGAAGAACTACAATCATTTTCTAAGGTGTTGGCTAACTAGAAAGTTCAAAATAACACTGTCTGAAAGGACAAACATTCTCACCCTATTATATCCAGGGCTAATATCCAATAAATTATTTGAAAACATACATGTTTTAACCTGATGTTTATTGAAACCATCCTTCTCTAGGCAATCATCAAGGATGGTAGCAACAGTTATCACTTAGTTAAAGCCCTTGCTTAGTCTTTTTAAAAAATTACAAGGAAATTTGCGAGTCAGTTGATTCTGCTTTCCATACCTACCCAGACCCCCAGAGGGAAGTATGGACTTTCTGAACTGTTGGACTCTGTGGAAAGACACAGATAAATCTCCTCTGCTATGTGAGGTTGTTTCTCCCCACACCCAAAGAGGAAATGTCTAGGTGACAGTGGTGGGGGGCCATGACCCTCCTCCTCTAACAGCCTGTCATGCCATTTCCAAAAAGATATCAGCAGGAAAAGAGGTGATCTCAGAATGCCCAAGATAAACAGAATAGGATATACTTATATGCAGCATGTGGTTCCCAAAAAGGGGGTTTCTGTTGAGATGAAGGCTACATGCCTTAAGAAACAGTCCCCCCTGAAAACAACCCAGAGGTCCAGTGTCCTTGCAGATGTAATTTGAGTCCTTGAGGGAAGGAAGGGAGAATATGACCTCTGTTGAGGTCATGTGGGAGTTGTCCAGTCGGCACTCTTGGGGGCCTTGCATGTGTGCACGTCCAGGGCCTCAAGGCAGTCTTGACAGCGCACGGCACAGCACCAGTGGAATTTACACTCACACTTGGTCATCCGGGTGACATGGGATGTGTCATAGCCTCTCCCACAACACATAACTTCGCAGCTGTCCATGCCTCGGGAAGTCAAGTTGCACACACGGCCTGCTGTACCCAGGGAGCCTGGAAGACAAGCCAGAGAGATGTCACTGGAAACACCTGGGCAGAACACAATAGGCCTTGACAGAAGAGTCATCAGGCTCATCCTTGAGAACAGAGCCTAGCCCAACCTTCCTCATAGCTTACTGAATCTGTGTTCTATAGTCCCCAGTGTTGTCCCTCTATGCAGCTGAGAAGTATCTAGAGGGCATCAGCTAGAAAAAGTGAACCAGAAACTTTGGGTTTCCTTAAGGTAATCTGAATACAGAGCTTGTACTTTTAATTGGATTGACTTTCCATATTACCCTTACTGGGCTTTACATCGAAGGGCCATTGGGTGAGCATGGCTAGATAAGAAAGAAAAAGGGACTTATCCAAGGTTTTCCTCTTCCAACTTCACATCACAAAAAGGAAGCTGTGGCCAAGGTCAGCTTTCTCCAAGTGTAGGAGGTATTGAACCATGAAAAGGAGGAGTTTGCCTCCCTAGACCTACTTACACTGGCTTAGTGGACAGAGACCCTATACTGTAGCTGGTCGGGGAAGAGTCTCATTCATGTGAGGCTTTGAGGAGGGACGCCATAGCCTGGCATTGCCCATCACTCTTTTTTTCTGTCTTACAGTTTAGCAGACCACAGGAGGTGTGTGAAGTACCTATTTGAGGCCATAATTCTTGTTCTTCAAAGAACAAATGTGGCATTGTATCAATGTCATATTAATCAATTTTATATTTGCTAAATGGAGTCTATATTTATGTATCTTTTTCTTTAAAAGGAATTTCAAAGACAAAGTTGGGTATGGTGGCTCACAATTATGTCAGAAATCACTGAAAAGTTTGTGAGTAAGCCAATATATTCATATATATATATATATATATATATATATAATTTCCAGGACACTCTAGGATGTATCATGATCCCCTATCTCAAACACAGAAATAAGAATTTCAAAGATATAAAGTCTTTTATTTACTCTATCCCTGGGATAATATAGCTCTTTATGACTTTATCAGATGCATAATCAAGAGTATGGGACAATTTCGGAGAGTGTTTTTCAGCTTGCAATGACTTTTTCTACATTAATCTTTCCTATCAAGATGAGCCATTTGGTTACCATGTTTTATACCATCACCATCTTCACTGGACCGGTGGGCACCTGCGTCATTCTGGGCCAATTAGATAGAACTCCCAGGAGATTGTTGCCATACTTAAACTCAGTAGGCCCAGCCCCTGTACTCTAAGTTGAGCTCTGTGGATAGCCAGAGAGCCACAGGAAAACATGAGTTAAAGTACCAGGAAAAGGAGTTCTGTCAAGCTAGACTATTGTTTGGTTCTGCTTGTATCTCTTCTGGAGGCCTGGCCACACACTGACCTTGGAGGACCTAGAGACACTGGGATTTCTCCTATGAAGTGGTTTGAACACAGTGTCTTAGGTATACAAGGCAAGCAGTCTGCCACTAAGCTACAACCTCAGTTACAGCTTGCTATCCTTCTACTAACTGTTCCTTTTAGCTTAACTGTTCCTATTTCTATTACAGTCCACAATACTAAATAACTGGCGAACCTGCAGAAGAAAAATAAGTACAGGGAGAAAAAGATAATAAATTAATTTTTTTTACTTCTACCTCGTGACACTGTTTATCACTATCTGCTCTGTATGAAAATTATCTGTATGAATGTCATGCTGCTCTGCCTGTGCAGAATGACCAGGGAAACAGCAGGGTTCAGGCAGGGTATGAGGTCAAGAAAAGCATAGGGTGGGCCAGACTCACTGTGCGTGATCAGCTGCCGAAAGCAGGAAGACAGACAGAGGAGTTTCCTGAGGACAGGAAGGATGGCAGAGGGCCGGGTCGGGGTAGAGGGTGGGTCAGCCAGGGATGGCCCTGAGCCTACATCATGCTGAAGAAGCAAAGGGTTAGAAGAGGCAGCAGCTGGGCCTGAATTCAGGGTGACCATCAGGACAGTCTCTTAAAAAAAATTACTGATTGTGCAAAAAGGACACCCACTGCCAAATGCTGCCTTTTAACATCTCACCCATTATTTCATTTGATAGACATAAATTTAGCGGACATAAATATGTATAAAATATCATGTTGGCTGCTTGGGGTTTTGGAGACAGGGAAAACTTCAAATGAATAAGACCTAGCTCCTATTCCTCATCAGACTTGTAATGTAGTGAAGAGATAAGTGTGTGTACCACAACCTCCAGACCATCATTATTTCATCTGCTAATGACCTACTAGAAACCACAATAGAATCACATGCAGCGTATCAGGGCAGACAAAGATCAGACTATAAAGCCAAAAATGTTAGACTGTGGGCAAGCAAGGGTTTGCTTGTAGTGTTGCCATGTGTCAACTGTATCGTTGTGGCAAGTAAAACAAGTAAGTTTCCCTTTTCTCTCTTGCAAACATGGCATAAAAACAGCTCATTATTCCATAGTATGGATGAGATAAAATTAGAGTTCCAAGTGTCTATCGGAATAGGTGCTCAACACATGTTAAACATCTATTCATTACTTAGCAAGTGTTTATTGAGACGTAATTATCAGTGAACAAAATAAAGACACCATCCCAAGGGACTTATTATCATAATGCTATTTCTCAGTATGACTATCAATAATAGGGAACAGGACCAGGAAAAGCATCTTCAACTACATGGTTTTAACACGAAGGTAGCACTAGAGAGACAATGTAAAGGATGAGCTGATGTTTAGGGAAATAATGGGACGAAAGACATTTCTAGGCACAAGAAACTCCTAGCAGAAATGCTTGAGAAAAGTTTATGAGAGTACAGATTCAGTATGACTGAAGAACAGGGTGTGTATTCTATAAAACTCATAGGAAAGAAGAATGGAACAACAGGTTAAAGAGTCCTTTGCCTTGGTAGAGCTTTGATTTTTGTCTATGGTGGGTATAAAATCAGTGTGGATTTTAATTCAAGATTTAATTTAACCTAAGCCTGTTAGAATGACTGAGAGAAAGGAGGCCAAATGTGAGCTCTGAGAATTGTCTAGGCAAGACTCCATGAAGAGAGACAGAAGGACAATGAATGAGAGGCCTAAGAGGGTAAGCCACTAACATTTGGCTTTCTATTGAAGTATGGGATGGAGGTGGAGGGGTCAAGTAGGAAATGACCAAAACATGTTCATTTGGCTCCACAGTGAGAAGAGGAGCAGACACTTGGGATAACACCATAGGTTAAAGGGAGAGTGGGAGGAAAGGCTGCGTGGAAGATGGTTAAGTCCTCAAGGGGCATGATGGTGAAGGAAACTTAAAAGACAGCTGCTGGAACTGAGATAGATAAAGCTAGGACTTCAAGATCATTTCAGGCCTTAAGTATTTGGGGGAATCATTACACATCAATGGAAGGCTGACACAGGCTTTCCTTGTCTTTATTTAGACAGATAATAGAACTGGGATAAACTAGTCATGGATGTTTAGAGCTGGGGTGGTGCTATTTCTTAGAGATGGGAAGACAAAGCACATGAGGACGGCTCTAGAATACCAGACCTCTTTTATGTCATAAACTGGGCCCAAGTTATATGGATGTGTTTAATTGAGAAAACTTCCTATATTAGGGTTATGGTGGACACAGCTAGTGTTAATTGAACTTTCCCACACATGTTATGTATGTTACTAGGAAGAAAATGAGGAAAGCAGAAGTAAAGAGGCGGAGGCCACACAAGCTAAGAGCTTTATTCGAGGAGTAGAAAGGCATTCCACATGGCTGTGATTCAGTGGTCAAAGGAGAGAGCAAAAGAGCTGAGGCTGAAGATGTTGGTAACAGCTGCATTGTCAATGGCTTTAGATGACAGGGCAGGGGGTTTAAATTTTACTGTGTAAGCAACAGATTTCTATGGAAGTTCTTTGTGCAAAGAGCAATATGGTTTAACTTGTATTTATGAAGGCAAGGCAACGTGCAGAGACTGAATAGATTGAAGCAAGTCAAAATCAGGGCAGGGAGATAAGTTAGAGGCCCATCCAGAACTGGAAGCCAGACACAAGATGACCTGGATTAAGACACTGATGGTGAGAAAGAGAAAAGTTAGTCGAAGAGACAAGACCAGTAGATATGGTGAGTGATGAATGGATGAGACAGAGCCAAGAGGGGTCCAGAGGGGATTTCAGGTTTGGGTCTAAGCAGTCATACTGGTACTAGTAATTCCCCAAGGAGAGAAATGCCTGGGAGGGGAAGACTTTAAGCACCAATGTGTTTAGTTGTTAACATATTGAGTTTGCTGTGACAGGAAAATGTTCATTAAAGATACCGTGGGATTCAGGAAACAAGTTGGAATGTGGTTCCTGGGCTGGCTCATCTTTTTCAGGAGGTAGGGACTGAGGCTTAAGGTCTTTGAGTAAGACCCTGGCACACCAGGGGTGAGTCACTTTGTAATGGTTTCTGCTTTGTCTTTAAGTCTTACAGACCAATAAACATTCTTTCATCTTACCAAAGCCTAGCTGTCAAACTCTGCAGATATTGTGACACATTTGAATTCTTTGTCCTCTCCATCGGCTGTCAACCTGAGAGGGCTGGAATGGGAAAGTGATGTGTCTTGTTCCTAAATCAGGGTGTGGGGCCTATATTAAAAGCCCAATGGTCTTTGCTTACTGACCAGAAGCCTCAGGACATCTAAGAGTGTTTGCTTCTCAAATGCAGAACTGGAGAGGACTTGCTCTGAACCAAGGATTGTTTGTCAAACTGAATCCACATCATCCAAACTCGTGGAGAAAAGGCAGGATAAGGCAATGGCTATTGGAAAATTTTCATCTAAATATGATGGCCTAAGACTGGAATAGAATGATGGTGAATTTAGGCACACCTGGGCCATGGAGTGAGTTCAAGGTCAGCCTGAGCAACTTAGTAATATCTTGTCTCAAAGTAAACTGTGAAAAAAGACAGCTGAGGATAGAGCTTACTGGTCGAGTGTTGCCTAGCATGTTCAAGACTCTGACTTCAATCCCTAGTGAAAAAAAAATACAAAAGAAAGACAAAAGTTGGCTTTGCTATGTGAAACAAAAACACGCA